TCTCACAATGTGATCTGATCAAAGTAATCCCTAAATCAAATAAAATAGGAGCCAAAAATAAACTTGGCTAAAAATTGCCAAGTTGAACCAAATGGGGGCACCTTTACAAAAATAAAGAGAAATTTGTTGGGGGGGGACTTAAAATCATAAAATTACAGAAGTTTTAATAAAAATAAAAAAATGATGATTTAGTCTACATTTTATGGTACCCATTGAATTATCGCCAAGTTGTTTCATTTATGGTAACCTGAGTAGTTGAATGTTATGGAAATCCTGTTATGACGTGATTAGTTACAATGTGTGATTGACTGATGGGGAAATATTTGTAAGGGCTTACTTAGGTATGGATGTTGGTTAGGAAGTATGTTGCATATTTTGTGCTTTACAACATAAAATGCCTGCTGGTAGTACAATTAACTTGAAGCTTTTATACACTTTAGAATGACTGGGAAAGAAAACATTGATTGACTGGTGTGTATGAAGATTTAAATGGCTTCGTTCACCTCTTGGTAAATTACGCAGTGAGATTTCAGGATTTCGAAACCAGAACTCATATCAACACTATGGAAAGCATGTGGGGTGCAATAAAAGGGGATTTTCGAAAGAAATGCTACTGACAATCCGTAGCATATTTTTAATTTTTACTTTTGTGAACTGATGTGGAGACAGCAGTATACTGATTCTAGTTTAGATCAATTTAAATAGCTTTTGGATGCTGTTAAGGAATTCTGTGTGTCACAACTATCGAAGAAACAGAAATTTTTAAATAACGTAAGTCGACATTTCCTCTTTGTACTGCATAGATAATATAACATGTATTTCCATTCTTGTGTTATTTCCTTGTTTGATTTAAAGTGTAGTTTATTGAGATTAATATAATTTTCGTTTTTAATTATGTTTTATTGCATTATATTTTGGATGCCATTTTACTGGGGAAAGGCGTTGGACATAAACAAGAACACCACCAAAAAATCGCCAATTTTTGCCAAGGCTACTCTTAAATATATTTTTACCAAATGGTGGTTTATGAGATTATGGCAAAGCCTCGAAGGCTATCTGCCTAAGGAAGGATGCCTTCATGGAAGACTTTCTAAGAAAAACTGGCTAGTATACACATTATACATGGGGAAAACCACAAAAATGCCCATGCAGACAGCCCGTTTGCAGGATTTGAAACTCGAACCAAACTGCCAGTGCCCAGCAACTATACCACTTGGCCCTAAAAATTGCAAAAAATTAATAAAAGTTGGTATATATGTGTAAATAACATAACAAAACACACTTGAATAATTCTGACAATAGCCAAAGATTCTGTATCAAAACCATGATTTCTTTTAACTTCTACAGCATTCTTACTGAACAGCACCATCTCATGGCAATAACTTTGAATCTCAATTTAAAATTTTCTTTTTAAAGCTCTTCCTCCATGATACACATATATGTATGTTAACGGCAAAGTATGAAATGGCAGCAATCTATAGAATATCTATGCATTTTATAGAATGCTGACATTTTTAGGAAAAGTATCAAACATGAGAATTATTATATACTTTACCCTGGGCATTGCATATAATGCCTAAGAATTCTATAGAGCGACAAATGCTCTTTAGATAAAGTATGAAAAAAAGGTCATGATACGGCTATTTAAAAGATGTTCATACCCTAATACAAATCCTATTTAAAAAAAAAAAATTATAAAAGAATGAAATTAAAAAATTCTTATTCAAACTACATAAAAAGAAGTGAGAGTTAGAAAAAACAAAATTTATACCCTTCTTATTAAAGAAAACAAAATTTCATATAAAAATAAGAAATTAAAATTAACCTATTTGTTGTGACATGGTAGGTTTGAATAACATTTTGAATTCACTTCATCACTTTTTTCACACAGATATTTCACATTCCATCCCTTTGTTTTACACATATACTTGATGAATCCCCTGCCACTTCCATTGGACTAAGCAACTGCAACTGACCAGACAGGAGTTTGTGAATAAACTGTGATCTTGTAGTTGTTTTAAAATTTTTCAGAAGTTCCAGGTCAACAGAAAATATCCTTTATCATATTCATTACAACTACCAATATACAGCAAAAATTATTATATACTTTCCCTAGGTACTGTATGTAATATGGAGATGTATTTCATATTTTACCAGTTTCTGATTTGGCATTTTATAGAAAGCTTAGGCAACGTGGCAAATGTTTAATCATTTCATACATTGCTGGCCAATTTTCAGCATTCTATAAAATGCCTAGGTATTCTACAGAATGTTGGATTTCATACTTTGCCGGTAACATATACATGTAACATGTGTACTAAATTCCATTCAAATCAGTTGATTGGAAATATCTCCTCATGAATATCTTCAGTTTAGTTACTAGATTTTTTTAGAACTTATAAAATTATCCCATTTGATATGGAAGCATGCAATGGAGAAGTTGTTAATATGGTCAGTTACAAAAATAAATGACTAAAGACTGTGAATGACTCTTTCACATTTGGTGGTTATGAAAAATATGTGTGGGTGTATTTTTAAATGTTTTCTTTTATTATGAAAGTCTCATTTTTTTAACTACTGTGAAAAAACTCGTTATTCTGAATACATTTTAGCATTATTTTAAAAGCATTATTTTAACATTAATCTTTGGAATCCTCTGAATCCAGTTCTGAAGATGTATTCATTCCTTGTTCACAGTGAACCATAAATGCACATTATCATTTACATGTTTATGATAGCGCTGGAAATTTTGTCTATTGTATTACTTTTCCAACATATTTTACTGAATAACACCTGAAAAATAATTCCATAACTATACTGTAATCTATTTTCATATAAAAGGCGACAGAAAATTCACTCATTTTAACAGTTTTTTAAAGAAATGATTCAAAACAAACTATTTTCTGATCACTTTTTAAAGAATTTATTTTCATATAAACACAAGTTATCACAAATTTAATACAAAAGTTTCAGCTACTTCTAAGCAAAAATATGAAGTGTACTATGTTTTCTAAATTTTGTTATATAATTTGTTATAAAAACAGGTAAGTAAAATGATATATAAAAATAAAATGCCAAGCTGATATATTTATAGTATGTACATTTTTACTTATTCTTGTAAAAAAGGGATGAAAAGGAGATGGAAAAATTCGCAAATTACATAAATCTGATTTACTATAATATCTATTCTTATGCTGCAAGATCTTTATACAATTAATTAAAATCTTTAAGCCATATTTACTCATGAAACAAGTTAGTCTTTATGCTCTGGAATATTTAACTTTTTAAAAGTATTTTTCAACTAATAAATATTTTATATATTTAAATATTACTTATATTAAAGCAATTTTTATTTTCAAACATCTCCGTATAAAGTTCCTTAAGATAAGTGAAAGAAAGCCAAAATGATTTAAAACACTTTCATTAACCAGCTAAAAACAGAATTTATGCCCCTATATTTATTGACACTAGATTTAGAAAAGCTTCTGCTAATTTCCCTACAGATGTTAATTAACTCTAAATTCTAAAAAATTCCATAAAGCAATATAAAAAAGGACATTTCTTATGCTAAGATTCCAAACATTCTGGTTATAAAGTTCATAAAAACAAATTCATAGAAGATAAAACAAAATAACCATAATTGGATATTCCAACACTTTGAATATTTCAATTTTGTCAGCTATGCATAATCAATCAGAAGGTCTTTTTTTGAACAATATTAAAATCTATAAACATTTTAAGAGGATGGTAGAAAACAACACATACTGAGTTGTTTTAAATGGCAACAGAAACACTACAAACAACAAAAACTAGAGTTCTTTTGACAGTACATGATTATATTCTTCCATGTCAAAAAATAAGAAATAATAACTTGTAATAATGAAATTTGAAATGCTGAAAAATATACCACTTTATATGTAGTTCATGTAGTAATGAGAAAATATGCAAAATACATCCATTTAAATAAACTTAACATGAACAAGTCAAAAAGTACGAGAAAGAATATTTCAGATCTCAAAGTTTTTTCAAAAAATTCTCAACGGTACAACTCTGATATACGCCCTAATTTCACCAAATGTGGCGATATGTGTTCTGCGCTGGTTTTTGGTGCGATTGCGTGTTCTATGGCAACCCTTGTTGACGTTGAAAAGATCTTTTCGCTGGAGTTCGTTGGATTCGCGTAATGCTCTGTGTATGAGAAGCTAGGGGGGGGGAAAGATAAAATGGTGGAAGTTGTTGAATTGAAGTTCGGCAAAAGGAAATATCATTGTGGCCATCCTGTTAAGGGATAGTGGGTATTTGGAGGTGTGCAAAGAGGGTCTGGGAGATTATTTTTAATGGCTGTGTACGATAGAAGTAGGGATTTGTGATTTTATTTATTTGTGAACCATAGTATGAATTTTCTGGAGTGTGTCTGTCTGTCATGTAAATAAGATAGTGATTACGTGGCAGCACGTTAAAGGCGGTATGAAATTGGTATTTCTGCTGTTCAAAAAAGCATTACTTCATGGTAAGTGAATTTTATTTTGTTCTTGTTCTTATTTTGTAGAATGTTACGTTCATTGATTCTTTAGTATGAATTTCTGTCGTTATTATTGTTTTTGAAACAGAATGCTGTGTACATGGTATTATTTGAAATTTATTGTTGTTATGTTATTTTATTAAAGCGAGGTGTGCGTAGATCGTAGATTCGTTCCTTGCCTAAATTGTGCAATTCGTAGATGTTTTTTAAGTTTAAACAGGATGATGTGTACATGGTATTCTTTGAAATTTATTGTTGTTATGTTAAATTTATTAAAGGAAGGTGTGCGTAGTTCCTAGATTCGTTCGTTGCCTACATTGTGCCATTCGTAGATGTTTTTTTAAGTTAAAACATGTCACTGTATACATGGATTCTTGTCAAATATTTTTGGTTAGAAACTTTACGTTTTTGCTATCTAAATTTTTTGTTTTTATTTCGGATTTTTAGCTTAAATCGTGTGTTCAAAACGTAGTTTTGCATGTGCGAAAACCACGTTTTTGGAAACATTTTAGGCTTAAAGTTCGAAATGTAGACAAAAAATTTAGATAGTAATATGTCAGCATGAAGTTTCTCGCCAAAAATGTTTGGCGAGAAATTTGGCGATTTGAGGGCGCATGTCAGAGTAGTTCCCTTTCAACAGTTTCTTAACTTGAATACATGGATAAATTTTTAAAGATTAAAAAGTGTAATAATCACAACATCTAAATTCAACACAAAGCTTTTGCTTCAGAAAGGCACTCAGCAGTATATTCATCAAATGTAAGTCTTTAATCATATATTAAAGACATTTTCTTTGCTAACTGGTAAATCTCAGATTTGTAGAAGACATCTTTGTATTTCCACATTGTTTTGTCAACAGAAAACACAATTTCACTTTTGTTAAATCCACATTTAGCATAGGAATGTATAACAGATAATGTTTTAGACAGCAAATCTGTCTTCTGTGCATGTTTCTTGAAATACCAAACTCTAAATTCATCATCTTCTAAACTCTTTTTTACTTTAGTTACATCAAATATAACATGAGATATTACATCTCCTTCATTTGATGCTCTTGTTTTTAATAATGTCACAAACGGTATATTCAGATTATAAGCGATGACATCATTTGGAAATTCCAAACAAAACTTTTTCTCTTCCACACTCATAACACTCACTGTATTATCAAAATGCTTAACGACCTCAGTTAAATTATAATCCATTTTTGGGACCATAAAATGGTCTATATCAAGTTTTAAAATTAAATCTGCATAATTTTTAGCACTTACACGATGAAGGCAGTCTATAAAGTATATATCTGAATCATAAAATACCTCCTGAAGTCCAAACGGGAGATTCCATTTTAAAAACAGCACATATGTTTCAGTTTTTGTACCAATATTTAGTAAAAGTCTCCTTACATTTAGTGACATGCCTGCATCATAAAATATAAAAAATTTTACTCCAATATAAGAATGAAACATAATAAATTCTAAAATTCTGTAAACGTCTTTAAAAACAGGTTGCAGAGGTTTCACACATAATGCATAAAGACCATGACTACGAGTGTATGAATCTTCATAAATAACTGGTAAATCAAACGGCATTGTCATGTTTCTATACCTAAAACTAACACTATGAGGTGCTTTATGTGCATGAAAAGGTAAACATTCTAGGAATAAAAATAATGATGACTGCCTTTTCTTTACAAGGAAACGTTGAGTATATTTTACTGCAATGCTTTTATCACTTTCATGCCACAGCTTGCATTCTATTTTATCCAAAACACTTAAAGAGACATCCCTAGAGAAAATTAAAGTTCGCGTTTTTCCAGAGATCCAATATGATGAATAGGCATAAACACCTGGAAATATTTCTGTCCAATATGGCATATTTGTTATCATTTCCTCAGTACTAAAATTATATTTTGCCATTGCTTCAAACTTCGATAAATTTGTATCACAATTAGACTTGGTATTCTTAGACTGAAAGTTCATCATTTCAAAGAGTGTACTAAATTTAGCATATTTCTGCCTATAAATAAACAACAGAACGAAACCTGTAAATACTATAATAGCTATCAATAACCTTGTATACTTCCTCATTCTTATTCCAGAGCTCTTCCTTTTACATAACTGGAATTTCTGCTTCTGAAATGAAATAGTAAAAATCAGTAAAACATATCACATGGCTCCATAAGTTAAATATGCAAAAATTCATTAAAATTAATCAGATAAGTTTCAATGCCATACATTCTAAATCACATTTCAATGTAACAAACAAAAGTAAATTAAAATTTGACTGAAAGCGAATTATAAACTTAATCATGCAATATTTAACCCACCAATTCACCTAAGGGTTTCACTAAAAAATCCCCAATTTCCCAAAAATGCAATAAGAAAGAATATTTTCTTGATTTTCATGTGAGAAATGATTTAATGTCTCGATTTTAATTTCATACCTGGATTTATGTGCTTTTAATGTATGGTCTTAATTTCTTGAAAATATTTCAAAATGTGAGAAATAGATACTTTCTTAAAACATTACAAAAAACATTCTAGGTTGTTTATAAAATATTCATGTTCTGTAAGTGATAAATAATACACTCACTAAGAGAACAATAAATAAGATTATTCATAAGGCAGCTAGTAAAATATTTGCATGTGTTCATAAGTTTTTAAAAAAAAAGTTCCACACCTTCACATATATTATTCATAGAAATGTTCTAAAAATTTTTTTCTTAATTTTGTTTTAGACACTTTCCAATGCATATCACTGAAGATTTTTTAGACCAAATTTAGAGAACATATATAAAACAATCATTTAAGCTATTATTTGTTCCATCTTAGATAAAACATTTATTATTAAAATTATAGGTGGTTCTAAAAAAATATCAATTATGCATAGTTTTCTCAATTTTCATGATGAAGACACAAAATGCTTTATTTTTAATCTATAAAAGAAAAAAAGAGTGCCTTAGTAATTGAAACTCTTTCTCAGTTGGAGTCAAATAAAAAGTTAAATTTTATTTTAAGAGATCATTCCCATCCATAATGTTCAAACTATCTGAAGTTCTACTAAACTAAACTCAGCGGCGTAACAACCCTAATGGGCCAAGGCCTGCAGTGCCCGAAATCTGCTTTCTTGACCGTGGGCCTTGGGGTGCGTGAGCATATGCCCTGAACAAGTGGTCAGCTAGTCGCAGGACCCCCAGTGCTTAGTCTCCAAGCGAACTTGGTACTCATTTTATCGGCCCAAGAGATGGAAATATCTGAAGTTAAACAACTTATTTTTACGATGAAAGGTACATATCCAGAATCATTATTTAAAGAAGAAAACACAGCAACAAATTTTCTCAAATATATTGTTGTATATGCATAGGCACAGACATGTCCACGTATTATTAGCATTTTTTACATCTCTTAGTTACAAAGTTCACATACAGTTGAACTCTGACCTGCCTACATTGACAATTAGTATTTGTTCAGCGTGTTATTTTACCTTAATGCCTACATTGATTAGCAAAACAATTTGAGTTTCCCAGAAACATAAATTTCAAATTCCACATTTCAGCCTTCAGTTTGACCTGTTAAAAGTTCTACTATACAATTAACTAAAAAAATTTGATTTGAATATGACCTTCTCATACATCAATTAAATTTAAATTTTACATACTTTTTTGCTGCAATCATTTAAACTTATTTCCTTGAATCATTCTAACTTAACCATCAAGGCAAGTTAAAAGCAACAGCAAAAACTGCAAATTTTGAAATTAAGGACATACAGGAGTCAAACTTCTTGTATTTTTATATTTTCATAACAAGTATAAAACTTTCCCACATTAGTTTTCAGACTTTTTTCTCTTTTATTTTATAATATTATACATTTTATCACCTTTTTGCTGTAATATTTCCAATATACTCTTTTATTTCTTAATACTTCCTCAAAATCAATCAACCTTTCTGCTCTTTTCTATTTATACGAAACACCCTGAAACCTCTTGAACAAATCATGTTCATTTTTTTAAAAAGTTTTTTCATATGTTATATTTATAAATAATTCATGAATTATGAATTTCAGTAAATATTAAGTTTAGAAGATTTTTAGATATTTAAAGAAATTTCCTAAAGCATTACGATTATCTTTTACTAAAATAAAAATAAATAAATAAAAAAGGATCAAACCAAGATTTATATATATATATATATAATAATTTATTTCCTAAACAATATTGATTAATTGATTATATTATCTCCTAAGTTGAATTAAAGTAGAATTATTTTAAAAGATATATATATAATTATTAACAAGGTGAATTCTGGTGAAGAAGTGTTAAGAAAAATCTTATTTTGCTTTTCACTGTCTCAGGTTTTAAGCAGATGGTAAAAGTATAGTTTAGGGTACCCCTTGGCGAAACTTGGCTATTTTTGGCGGTACATGGATACCGATTTTGTGCAATTGTTTCACTCGTTATTTTGGCTTGCGAAGCGGCGATTTTTGAGCCAAACATCGCTGCTACACAAAGCCAAAATAACAAGACAAACAATTGCATAAACTCGGTATCCATGTGCACATAAATTTATTTTCACTTAAAAGAACCCCCCGAATTGCACAAAAATGGCATTGTGCACTCCTCTGACTTTATCCGTGTACACGTCGACCTATTTTCACTTAAAAAAAATCTCCGAATTGCACACTCTTTTAGCTTTATCCATGTACACGTCGACCTATTTTCACTTTAAAAAAATCCCAGAATTGCACAAAGCATCATCTTTACTTTGTCAGAACAGATATTTTACTTAAAAGTCAAAGAGAAAATTCCATATTGAAAATACATCCCATTCAAAAAAGGAAGTTTACAGAAAGGTCATTCGTTTTAGACCCACTGAGAGACGCACGCGTTTTTTATCGCTCCGCTTCTTGCCTGCTCATCTTGCGGAAATATTGTGCTAAAGCATACAAATTTCGCATTATCGTTAAGAGGAAGATCTAAGGATTACAAAGATACCAGATTTGTGATAGAGAGATGATGATAGAAAATGATTTATGAATTTTCAGATTGTTCAAAACTCTGAAATGGCAAAAGTATTGTAATTACGCAAGCTACAACTTTCCACCGTTCTATATGAGCCGCCGCTCATTGGATCTTCAAGTAACTTTTACCATCGGATGTGTAAGCTTTCCAGGAGCATTTTAAGACCAAGCTCAAGTCGTTCTATTAATTAGGGAATTTAATATTATTAAATTTGCTGATTTTACACACGGTGTGGAATGCGATTGTGAACTCTGACCTTGAGCAAAAGGCCGTTGCACTCGTCTCCCCCTCCCCAACGGAATTCGCTACGGAGTGACCGCAAAGAATGCTTCAAAAATAGAGAAGTGGGCGTTTTTCATACACAGTGTTTATAGTAGAACTAATTAGTGTACCAAGAGAGGGTTAGCATCTTTGATCTCTGCTCATCGAGACGGATCCAAGTTTCTTTATCTGATGAATATTCTGACTAGTGGTTCGCAAATTACGACTTTTTTTTTTTTTTTTTTTTTTTTTTTTTTTTTTTTTTTTTTAAAAAAAAAGCTTAATTATTCATCTTAGTGTGTTACATCAGTTCTCACAGCGTAGTGTGTATCATGGTGAGTGTGTTGACATCAGTTCTTACAGTGTAGTGCTCATTAGTGCGTTATAGTGATCTGTTCTAATTGTGTTGTGCCTTCGCTTTTGGATTACCTAATTCAACAGATGAAATACATAGAAGATAAACGACCAAGGATTTCCCAGCTGAAAAGAGCAATTCACATAGCAGTGTGACGTAGCAGTACGAATCAGAAACTTCGGTTTTCTCAGCTGAAACCAACAATTAACGTAGTAGTGTGAGCTAATTAGTGATACAATGATAGTGTTGTGCGAATACAGTGTTCTACAGCGTGTGTGTGTAGTACTCAGCACTATTAGTGCTTAATAAATATTATTGTGTTTACTTCATAGAGAACAAAGGAAGCGCAGAAGAAGCCCTGCAATCAAGGTAGGATTGTTTTAATTATCCGGTAAACAAAATATCCGATAATCCTACGAGCAATAATTAAGATTGCATTACATTTACACAATAGCAGTCACCTAAATAGCATCAGGGTAATAATAGCTGTTTAAAACTTATGATTTTGTGCGTTCAATTAGGAGCTGGTAAATTAGCTGCGTATTCATTCCTTAATCCTGTATACCACCCTCCTAAATATTAGCAGTTTTGCAAGGATTCGTTTCAGTGATCGTATCTTGTATATTTTTCCTGTTTTATACATTTAACTATACTTATATTTGTGAGTGTTTATATATCAGTAAGTGCTATAGTTTTTTTAATTTTTTTTTCCCTTGATGTGCGTTATATAACTATGGCTTACAATAATTTAACTAATTAAGTATTTATGCTGATATTTTGTGTTATATACTTCTAGCTAATAATAATAATTTAATTGATTTAGTTTTTATACAGAGAATAGTTTCAGCGCTTATATTCTGTGTGATATCATGTTCTATACCTTTATTATGCGGCCCATAGACTTATTCATTGATCTTTACTAATTAAGCAGTGTACAGCGCTACTGCTACTTTATTAATTGAGCAGTGTGTTACCTGTCATATTTGATTGAGCAGAGTATTTGTCATATTTAATTCAGTCATATTTGATTCAGTGATCGTATCTTGTATATTTTCCTGTTTTATACATTTTACCATACTTATATCTGTGAGTGTTTATATATCAGTAAGTGCTAGTATCTTGTGTAATGTATTTCTAGCTTACAAAAATTTAATTAATCAAGTTTTCCCCCTAATGTGTTGTATAATTATATAATTCTGGCTTACAATAATTTAGCTAATTAAGTATTTATGCTGATATTTTGTGTTATATACTTTACTTCTAGCTAATAATAATAATTTGATTGAATTAATTTTTATACAGAGAATAGTTTCAGTGCTTGTATTCTGTGTGATATCATGTTCTATACCTTTATTATACGGCCCATAGACTTTTAATTGATCTTTACTAATTAAGAAGTGTACAGCTCTACTGCTACTGTTTAATAATGAGCAGTGTGTTACCTGTCATATTTGATTGAGCAGAGTATTACTTGCATTACTTGTCACTTTCCCAGATTG